TGGAGTTGTGGCAAGATTTCTTACCTCTCTTAGCGTAATCCCCTGGTCGAGCTGTAAATGAACTACCTATCCTGGACCTTAATCATCATCTTGATGACGAAATAATTAGACGATCAACTCCAACTCGAAAGTGAGGTCGCCTCCTTTCTCGACCCGCACTCCGCTGGGTTTTGGAAAAGGAGCATCAAGAAATTTTCTGAGCGTTGAAGACAAGTGGTGGACACTCATGGTAGATATATGACCGGTCAGGAGTTGTAAACAAAAAAGATAAAATTAAAATCAAAAATTTGAAAAAGTGTTGCAGGACTTTCTTTCCAACCTAATACATCAACTCACTTTTTCGTTTCCTTTTACTGCGTGAGACAGATGATGATTCACTGTCATAATCAAGGTCGTCATCAACAAAGTCGATATGAGAATAACCATTCGATCGTGTCGACTGCCGTTTCGAAGACTGTAAGCTACCATTATTAGAGGAATTGCAGCAACGACTAATAAAGGGAATTAGGTCCTTCACCATACCTTCAGTGGACGAGGAGATGGCTCTGAATCAGGTATCATGATGCTATCCGTGTACTGTACTCGGCGCACTGTTCTACCGCTACTTGTGCGGACGACATTACTTGTATCATGCCCATTGCTTTGCCTATTTACAATGCTCTCGATCAAATCGCGTACACCGATTCAAGCAAACCGTAAGAAATGAAACTTACGACAATTCTTCACCCAACGTAGTACTAAGACTGTTCTCATCTCCCACATGCTCCTCATCAGATGCCTCTTCCGGTTTTTGTAAAGCTGCTTCTGAAAGCATATGCACATTACTATGACAACATAGTATATTCTCCTTTGATATTTTCGAAACGTGGGCATGTTGCACACATTCCTTGCCGTTATGATACCGCAACGGTTGCCACGTGAAACAGTTTTAATCGGTCTCCCTTTCCAAAAATTCGTCGTCATTAGAACTCTTTGCGGTGGGTATTTTTTCAAAGATAGAACAGGTGACGCTGGTAAAGCCACAAAGTTCCTGGAGACAATAAGCCCTTCGAAATGTCGACGTGATGAAACCATTCCACCATAACAACCTGTATGGAATAAAAGCAACAAGCAATATAAGCTTATGGGTACCCCCCAGGAGGCCCGTCGCGCGGCAAGAAGGCAAAGTCAGCGGACGAGTCGCGCGCGTACTATAGGGATTTCGCGTCAAGTTAAATAGTGTCCCATTGCACGTCCTACATCGCACACCACGCGCTGCAATCAGAGTCAACCATGCGTTGCGCAGTTTCGCCCGATTAGACACGTTCTCTCGCGCGAACATTCACACTCGCATGCTCGAGCCGTCTGTGTCTCCGCCCATACAGCGTGCGTTGAGGATCTCTCAACGTGCCGTTGCGAACTGCGCAACGCAGGTTGACTCTGCTCAGGTCGGTCCTATCGTTGTTACTTTTTCAAAAATTTTTACGACCCCCCTCCCCCAAGGTGGACTTGATACGACCCCCTTTTCGACACCTCGACCCACCATCATCCTATCTATAGTATTTAATTCTGGTACCACTCAACCCACCAAACTCCGCCTTTTTCCTCCAAAACAGGGTCAAGCGTGCGTTGAGGAATCCTCGACATGTCACAGGGGGGGGGTCGTATTGGCCCGCTGGGAGGAAGAGATCGGGCCGGATTGACGCGGTAGGATCATCACCATCGGAGGACAAACATCAAGGGTCGATGCCAGGCCAGAGGATTTCCAATAACAATGTCATTCTGCCCACATTCGTGATTCAGAGATGTCCGCTTAGCAATTCTTAGTTACTTGTCCTCTGACGGTGATGATCCTGGTTTTGTCACCATACAAGTTAAACAATTCGAAATAATTCGCACTTTTTCCAAGGATATTTTATCTTTCAAGTGAGTCCTCGAATCTGAAGGGATGTGAAGCACATGGCGCATCCCAGAGTGGGCTTAATTGGTTGCGCGCACTTCAACTACGGCTCTCTGAAGAAAGAACCTCAATTCAGGAAAAACTAAGAGGATTCTGAAAGGATCCGTGTGAAATTACAGTTAGGAGTACACCATTCAAAAAGAAACACAGTCTTCAGCGTCAAATTCACAAGCATGTAACCCTTAAAGTTGAGATACACTAAACAATTTTACACTTCTTGGAGAGAAAAGCACGAGGATTTCGAATCTGCTCCTACTTTAGTATGTAATCGCCTCTGAAAGGAGCTATAGTCGTTGAAATAGTGCCAATGCAGCGAAAAAGTACCTTTCGGCGGTACTCGGGCAAAATCCTCAACGTGGCCATTTTTTAATACTGAACGTATTTAGCAGCTTCTAGTAACCATTTAATAGAGCAAATCTTCTAGTTTATGATGATATATTACTTTCCAGATTGGATGAGTTTGAACGGAGTTATGGCTTTGGAAAGCGTAAAAACTCGCACTCATCACAAATTTTTCCTCGTTAATTTTGCAAAAATCCTCAACGTGGCCATTTTTTGGTACTGGACGTATAAGCTGCTTTAGCAACGGTTTGATAGAGAAAATCTTCTAGTTTTGTCTGCCATATTAACTTTTCGAATTTGACGAAAATGAAGCAAGTTATGCTTCGGAAAGTGTAAA